GGCTGTGCTGCCATTCAGAGAGACCTGGACAGGCTGGAGAGTTGGGCAGGGAGAAATTTAATGAAATACAACAAGGGCAAGTGTAGAGTCTTGCATCTGGGTAAGAACAACCCCATGTACCAGTACAAGTTGGGGACTGAACTGTTGGGGAACAGCATGGGGGAAAGGGACCTGGGGGTCCTGGTGGACAGCAGGATGACCATGAGCCAGCAATGTGCCCTTGTGGCCAACAAGGCCAATGGCATCCTGGGCTGTATTAGAAGGGGTGTGGTGAGTAGGTTGAGAGAGGTTCTCCTCCCCCTCTACTCTGCCCTGGTGAGGCCGCATCTGGAATATTGTGCCCAGTCCTGGGCCCCTCAGCTCAAGAAGGACAAGGAACTGCTTGAGAGAGTCCACGCAGGGCCACAAAGATGACTAAGGGAGTGGAGCATCTCCCTTATGCTGAGGGAGCTGGGTCTCTTTAGCTTGGAGAAGAGGAGACTGAGGGGGGACCCTCATTAATGTAAAGGGTGACTGCCATGAGGATGGAGCCAGGCTCTTCTCAGTGGCATCCAATGATAGCACAAGGGGAAATGGATATAAGCTGGAACATAGGAGGTTCCGCTTAAACATGAGGAAGAACTTCTTCCCAGTAAGGGTAACAGAACACTGGAAGAGGCTGCCCAGAGAGCTTGTGGAGTCTCCTTCTCTGGAGATGTTCAAAACCCGCCTGGACACGTTCTTGTGGGATCTGATCTAGGTGGTCCTGCTCCGGCAGGGGGATTGGACTAGATGATCCTTTGAGGTCCCTTCCAATCCCTAACATTCTCTGATTCTGTAAAAGGACATCTGAAGTCAATCAAAGACTGTAATAATTTTCTGAGGGCTTGTAGGATTGGAATTCTTAAAAAACTGAGAAGCAGACATTTCTGTTGCCTGTCCTATGTGTGGACAGAGGACCTTAGTCAGTTAACTGGAAGGAACATTTAGATTCTTTGCTGCTTCTAAAAGAAGAGCAATTCTATTAGTATCAAGACTGCTGCTGAATCTTCTTCACAAAACCTGCACTTCCACTTAAGTACTAAGTAGACATAACAATTTCTCTTCAGAGAACTGGGTCACATTTCCACCTAAGTTAATTATGCAATGTCCAAAAAGGTTGTGATGATTTTCAGTGGTTGCACGTGCACCTACTGAACATGAACACACTAAGCCGTCAAACGGGTTTATAATTCCGTAATACAATATGAGAGTATTTCCACGTCTACTCCTTGGAAATCAGCACAGCTTGTTTTGGGAAACAATCTCACCTCATTGTCCTCATGTAGTTCAATACTGCCTTGTGCCGGGAACCTTTGTTGTCTTAAAGAAGCTCTATATAATTCACCTGAAAGGAAAAGAGATATAATCAACGTATAAATATTTGGCTGCCTCATCTTTTACAGACATCTGTGGAGGTGAGGCATGCTTCTAGTTTCAAGAGAGAAAGATCTGTTCACAGGAAATCCTATGGACGAACAGAACAAAAGACACTTTCTTGCAGCCCTACACATTAGAGGCTTTTCTATTCTTAACAGCAACAATTAGAACAGGATTCGGGTCCTTATACAGAGGTGCGTAGTACCGGTACAGCTGCTGTTGGTCATCTGTGCCCTTCTGAAGCAGCAGGAGCAGAGGTCACCTGAGGTTCTGCATCATCTCTGCTCATCCCATACAGATATCTTAGATACTCTGGTATGTCTTAAACGGCACTAAACACCTATATATAGGCAAGTGAATTAAGCCTTTAAAGTTCTCCAAAGACCTTCAGAATCCAGCTCTTCCACAAATCTCTGTGACTACCTGGGAAACTCCCAGAAGGAACTGCAGTGCTCCATTATCAGGATGCAAAATAGAAGTAACAGACCACACAGCAAAACACAGTTTCTCCTCAATAAACCTTGTAAACTGAAAAATAGGAAGTGACATTGCAGAGAAACACAGCGCTCTGCTAATACCTTTTCACAACAGGATCGTGCATGCAACATCCTCTTTTATAAACACAACAAAGAAAGTCTCTGCATTGACTTCGGAGCATGACCAAACAGGCCCAAAAGACTCACTTGGGATTACTTCTTAGGCAGACTGGCTGGACAACAACCTGCTGTAAGTGGTGGAACATTCACGACATCAGCTTTAAGACCATAAGACTGTCCACTGTCTGGCTTTGGGAAGCAAAACTTAGGAAGCATTTCTTTGCAGAGAGAATGGTCAAACACTGGAACAGGCTTCCTAGAGAGGCGGTTGATGCCTCAAGCCTGTCAGTGTTTAAGAGGCATTTGGGCAATGCCCTTAACAGTCCGCTTTAACTTTTGGTCAGCCCTGAAGTGGTCAGGCAGTTGGACTACACGATTGCTGTAGGTCCCATCCAACCAAAAATATTCTATTCTATTCTATTTCTACAGATGGCTATGAAAAAGCTCTGAACAAATCTTCTCCGTCCTTGAGGACAAAGAACATGATGATACAGTACTGTCCACCTTTTTTTTTTTTCCTCACTGTGTTTCTTCAGTCACTGAAAAGAAATCCTACAGGATCTTTCTGGCTTCTTCATAATGCAGTCTTTTTTCTACAGCTGCATGTGTTAGTTACCTAGAAAACAGCTGTAGGGTGAAATTTGATTAGCACTGTTGTCAGCTTCATTGTCATGTTTATTCATGAGGTTAATCTCTTCCTTACAGACTAAAGGAATGTTCCATACTCCTGTCTCTTAAGCAGTTACAAGACACCTACATCAGAGGAGATGTGCAAGGCTTTGCAAAAAACCCACTGAAGCCTACTTACTCACATTTCAGCTTACAGAGTTCGGCAGTCAGATCCTGGAATGCTGATTTCTCAGGTAAAGAAAGAGGAGGTAAGAAGAAAAACATCTAACTTCTGATTTCCTGCTGTTTATAAGAGTTATTCTACTGGCCATTGTACTTTGTTTCCAAACACGAGGGCAAGAAAGCGACTGCTGGTAGTCAGCAAATCATGCCTAACCAACCTGATAGCCTTCTACGATGAGATTATCAGCCTTCCAGTACTTAAAGGGGGCCTACAGGAAAGCTGGAGAGGGACTTTTTACAAGGACATGTAGTGACAGGACAAGGGGCAATGGATTTAAACTGAAAGAGGGCAGATTTAGATTAGATATAAGGAAGAAATTTTTCACCCAGAAGGTGGTGAGGCATTGGAACAGGTTGCCCAGAGAAGTTGTAGATGCCCCATCCCTGGGAGTGTTCAAGGCCAGGCTGGATGAGGCTTTGGGCAACCTGGTGTAGTGGAGGGTGTCCCTGCCCATGGCAGGGGGGTTGGAACTAGATGATCTTTGAGGTCCCTTCCAACCCTAGCCATTCTATGATTCTATGAGATGACTAGCTTGGTGGATGAAGGGAGAGCATTGGAGCACTGGAAGGGAGAGCATAAAGTTTCTCTCAACTTTAGCAGGGCTTTCAACACTGTCTCTCATAACACCCTCACAGAGAAACTGAGAAAGTATGGGCTGCATAAGTGGGCAGTGAGAGGGACTGAAAACTGGCTGAACTACCAGGCTTAAAGGGTTGTGATCAGCAGCACAAAGTCCAGCTGGAAGCCAGTGACTAGTGGTGTACCCCAACTGGTCACTACTGGGTCCAGTCCTCTTTAGCATCTTTATTAATGACCTAGATGATGGGACAGAGTGTAATCTCAGCAAGATTGCAGACAATACAAAACTAGGAGGAGCAGCTGACACATCAGATGGTTGTGCTGCCATTCAGAGGGATCTCAATAGGCTGAAGAAGTGGGTCAAGAGGAATCTCATGAAGTTCAACCAACTGAAATGCAAAGTCTTGCATTTGGGGAGGAACAACCCCACTTTACAGGCTGAGGAAAGCAGCTTTGCAGAAAAGGATCTGAGGATCCTGGTGAACAACAAGTTAACCTGGATCCAGTGATGTGCCCTTGCAGCAGAGTGTTAACCGCATGCTGGATTGCATTAGGAAGAGTGTCTGTAGGTCAACAGAGGTGATCATTCCCTTCTACTCAGCACTGGTGAGATGACATCTGCACCGCTGTGTCCAGTTCTGGGCCCCTTAGTATGAGAAAGACATGGACTCACTGGAGCAAGGCCAGCAAAGGCACACAAAAATGATTAAGGCACAAAAGCACCTGACATGAGAAGAGGCTGAGAGAAATGAGACAACATGTTTGGCCTTGAGAACAGAAGGCTCGGAGTACATGGAGGAAATCTTATCAATGTGTATACCTGACATGAGGAAGTAAAGATGGAGCCAGAGTTCTCTTCATGACAGTCAGTGAAACGACAAGAGGCACACGTGAAACACAGGAAATTCCATTTAAATATAGGAAAGAACTCTTTTACTGTGAGGGTAGTCAAACACTGGAATGGGTTGCCCAGATGAGTTATGAAGTCTCCATCCTTGGCGATATTAAAAATCTGACTGGATGCAGCCCTAAACAATCTGCTCTAAACAACCCTACTTGGAGCAGGAGTTGGGCTATAAAAATCTCCAGAGGTCCCCTCCTACCTCAGTCATTCTCTGAATTAGACAACCATGAAACACAATACTTGGGTTTTTCATGGCCTACAAAACATAGCAGTTCTTTAAAAACTAGTACCTGATGGCCACTATAACCCACAAATCGGATATTTGGTAGGATGCTCTCTCTGAATTTCTAGCAGTATTATGAAAACTCCACTTTCACAGCACTCAGTTGGCTTTTTTTTAAAAGACTAAAAAGAGAGTAGCAAAACTGAAACCTGATAGTTTTCCATTTAGAATTTAAAATATCTACAATGTGATTGCTTCTGCTACCATCTCAGTTTCCTAGCAGTGACTTTTTCCTAAAGACAGAAAACATAACTACAGAAGTAAACCTGAGAGGAAGACTTTAACACCTAAACCATTGTTATGTTGAGTTTATTTGTTTAGTCAGCTAGCAATCTATGAAACAACCAATACTGATCTAGGAACAATAAATCAGTTTCCTTTGACATAGCAACTCTGGTAGTATCTAGACCTGTAGAGATGCATTCTGCTTTATCTTGTTAAATGTGCTCCTATTCATGAGTTTTCCTACTCATTGCATGATGCTTGCTCCTTTACCTAATATGCCATTGTTCTCCAGAATATTAATTTATTTTTAAGATATAGAATATTAAAAGCTACAAATTAGTCACCATTTATAAAAGTGTGCTGAAATGGCAAAATTGCCATGATTTACTGCTGAGTCCAGCATCTTAACCTCTGCCTACATATAATCACTCTCATGTAGTGAGAAGCTACAGAGACCAGCAAAAGCTCTTTATGAGGAATATGGTGTGGTCAAACTATGCCAGTCTTTCATTTAAAAGAAAACAATTACAAACTAAAAGTGCCAAGTTGTCTTTAGATAACATCTTTTATTCCTACACCTCAAATGGGTTAAATAGAGAAATTAAATATTGCAACATCGCACTGAAGGGGAATTACTTCAGCTGAAGTCGTGGGGGTCAGTTCTTTGGGGAGGGCAAACATGCTTTTCCCTTCTACTGACCGTGATGAAATTGCAGATAAGATGTGAATCCTCCTATCTCTGTAACATCTCCTTCTGCCTCTCATGGGGGGGGCAGAAACCCTTTGAAACCCTTCTGAATGTCAACACCAGAAATTTGTAATTTAAAACTTCAGCTGAGTGCTGTGTTGCAGCCTTAAAATTCGACTCATCTCACAAGGGTTAGCTGTTCTGAGAAAAACTGGGAGGCCTTTCTTCCTCCGTGACAAACACAAGTTTTAGAAGTTAATGAGAGAGTTAACTAAACAATAATACCAAAGTAGTTCACTAACAGCTTTCTGTATTAAAACACATTTTCCTTTGTTTCTTCCAGCATGTCAGAAGAAAATAAATGCATCACACAATGCTATAGTTGACTCAGTTTACCCTTTTTTTTTGGCATTCTGAGTTCACAGCCTGTTTGTGGTTCCATTTGATGTATGCTCACTGGCAGTCAGCCAGACCCTAAGAGAGCACACTGCAATTTTCACCTCACCAAGAACACTGATTAAGAAGAGTCTGGCCAGGCTACTCTAAAAGCACTGAATTTAGTCCAAAACACATTTCAAACACTCTCTACTCTTCTGCATTAGGATTGGGAGATAATTCTACATCAGATTCTACCACTATCATTCCTTATAGCCAGTAGAAATTCATTTAACCTCTGTGGCTATGTTTCTCCATATTTAAAAGCAAGGTAATTTTTCTTGCCTTTCTGGCAGGCATGGATTTAAAAGATTAGTCATTTAATACTTGCAGAAAACAAAACAATACAACAACAAAAACCAAAACAGCAGAAAACAAACCCAACAGCAACAACACACATCCATAAACCCTGAACTTCCACCAACTCCAATTGCTTTCTAGAAGCCGCTGCAATTTAAAGCTCCTTCTAATTAAGAGTGTTTTTTCCAAAAGCCTCTCTAGAAGACTCACTTTTTTCTGAAGGTCGTCATATGAAAGAGCATCTGTTTCTTAACACCTAAGCTCACAACAGAACCAGTACCACAGAAACGTTAGTTTTGTGTCAAGAAAAAGGATTACCCAGGGCCATGAGGCACCATCTTATAATGAACGACAATAATTATCTTCAAGAGAATATGGAAACAGGAAACCCAGGACTCTCATCACATGCCCACAAACCTCTTCGGTTATCTATACAGTACGATGCACTAGGCAAAATACTTCCTCGGATTACTTGTGTGCTGTTCCTTTGAAAATCTTGTTCTAAAGATAAGCTTTTAGAAAGCAGAGAGGGTGGCTTGCTTTCTCCCTAATGCATCAAATGCCAGGTTGCAGGACAGTCCCTTGCTTCACACACACAAAAATGTCATAGATAACTGGACACTAGGATTCTAGGCATCGTTTCAATCACAATTTCAATTCTACTGTTAAAGTAGCCCTCTATCATAAAATCAGGCTTCTTTCAAACCTGCTTTCTCACTTCAGCCGAGAAAAAGAAAGGAAAAAAGCATATCAGCTTGCAGACTTACCAACGTACAGAGTTCAACTGTCTTCACAACACTGCTACACTGCCAAAAATTGAGGCTGCAGTAATGTCAGAAAGCATACTGCCTTGTTTTGAAAATCCTCACCTAGAACTACAGTTTTAACACAAAAATAATGTGGAGATCTAAAAAGAGGGGAAAAAAAATAAAGGGGGAGCCAGACAGTTTTTTGCTGATTTGCAGCACAAGTCAGGAATTTCAACATACAGATCTTCAGTATTGTGGTGCCCAAAGAAACAAACTTGCCTGAATTCAAAGCAGTCCCATGGTGGTGGAGGCAGGAGGCTGTGTGTCACACGTGTGGCATACGCGGCATTTCAAGAGATTTGCGGATGAAATACTTTAGAACATAATCAGACTTTGGGTCTACACAGTTTCAGCTTTATTGTTTAGGTTAAACACCAGAGACTTAAATAACTGGGGGACTTTCTCTGTCATTATGACAATATAAAGGGTAAGACTATTCAGCAGCTAGAGCACTGCAGGAGACAGAAACGTACAGCATGACCTACTGGAGAAAATGAAAGGTATTTAATTAGGCACTGAAATGAAACTGATTACAGAGAAATTATGTGTTTTACTGTTTACTGGAAGGACTTTAATGAGGTAAAATACCAACACAGTTTTGCTGAACTGAACCTCTCTGATGACATTATCAACATTTTACAGATTTTTCCAGCTGTCTTGCTTCACACCATTATTATACCAGTTTATGTTAACTATATCATTTTGGAAATTACAGTAACAAAACAGGTACTCAAATTCCATACAGAGTCAGAAGCAGTGGGTTGTAACAGCCAGTGATGCAGTCCAGAAAGGTCAGGGTAGGACAAGATTGAAAACTATCTGTTCAATCATCTGTTTCGTCTTTGTTTTTTAATTAACCTGTAAAAGCAGCAGCTACAGGGTCCACTAGGGTCCAATCTGGCACAAGGAGAGGAGAGACAGGAATAGGAGGAAATCCTGAAATACCATTCCTCAAGAAGTTCAGTTCCTCTGCAGGCACCCAAACTAACTGATCGGTAGCGGCAGGGGATAAGAGGCAGCAGCTACAGGGTCCACTAGGGTCCAATCTGGCACAAGGAGAGGAGAGACAGGAATAGGAGGAAATCCTGAAATACCATTCCTCAAGAAGTTCAGTTCCTCTGCAGGCACCCAAACTAACTGATCGGTAGCGGCAGGTGATAAGAGTGGCTAGTTACAACTGCTGTCCCAGTGCCCAAGATCACAGAAGGAACCAGTTCTCCAAAGACACTGAGAGCTTTCAAAACCCAGCCTTTGTTTTAATACTTTCCTGGGAGCAAAACACGAAAACCTCAAGCTAGACACAGCTGCTGAGCCACTCTACACAGCTACGGCTCATATTACTGAGCAGAGTGAGTTCTTCATGCTATTGAGTGAACTTGGCCTAATATCACTACACTGCTTTCCTGCAGGCTACAAGTCAGGATGCAAATTCCTAGCATCTTTTTTCCCAGATGCTTCCTCAGCCCAGGCAGCATGGTAGCATATAAAAGTCACAATCAGTTGTTCTGCCTCTAAGGTGCAATGACCTCCCTCTTAAAAGGTAAATAATCTTGCCTCTGCGGATGAGAGCATCTTTTCCAGAGCTAGTCTGAGACTGTGGAATTAACTCACCTATCACAAAACTTTATGCCTCCCACTGCCTCTGCAAAATGCTCTGCTGCCTGTTAGAACAGAGTTGAATGTACAGTAGCATGGCAATAAAAAAAAAAAAGTTAAAACCACTCTCTTTTGGGAGACCATCAATTGATACCATTTAAAACATACGGCTGCATTCTGAAAAATAGCAAGAACCGTTAAGCATCTTTTGTCAGGTCAGCTACTGGACCACGTATCAACTCATTGAGAACTACCCTAAGTAGTTAAACGGCTTCTAGCACTATGTGGTACTAAAACAAATTAAAGTGAAGGAGGTGAGTAAAACCAGACTGACACATACCTACTGTTGACCAGATGCTGAACTACAAGAAAGACAGCTCAGTCCTAAATTAAATGCAACCACGTTACAGAAACTATACTGCTTTTCAGTCTAGCAGTCAACATCCAGGAACAGTGGCTACCAGCTGAGCCAACTGCCTTTATAAAGGCTGGGGATGAGATTTACCAAGTATTTCTGGAGATAGACACATACACTGCTACCACAGATACCGAGGAGCCAGCGTCTCCAGCAGGGTTTGGTTTGGACTCAAATTCCCACTGGAATTGTTAAACATACATATGTTGCACATGCTCATCAGTGACTTACAGAGATGTCAAGCAAGTGATTCAACACCCCAAAGCAGCCATGAAAAGCATCAGTTCAATCCATGACAAAAAAAAAATTAGTAAATAAGTACCCTGAATGTAGGAGAAAAGAATTTGCGTGATCATTCTCAAACTTATGAGAACATGAAGTACAGTTCAAATTTGTACTAGGAATCAAGCCAGGTCCTCTTTTTTTTTCCCCCCAGATCATTTCAAACATCCCTAATATTTTGCCATGTTAATTAGGGAGGAATTTAGAGTAAAAACAAGAGAACTCGCTTTAGGTACAAAGCATAAGGTGGTGATAGTCCCCAAAGAAAACTGTTACTTCTATTATCACACTCCCATGAGAAATTATGCCGTTTCTTGCCATCTGTTGTGCTATTACTAGCAGTTTTTAATGACAAATCTGCCATGAGAAATATGTTCACATGGAGGCTGTAACATATGCTTTCTATTAACAAATGATAAAGAATATTGTAATACACTGCAGTACAGTTTCACAAACTGCACTGTTTAGAGGAAAATAATGGCACACATCACTGAGTCCACTCCTGTTCTGCAAGCCACGACATGAGATAGTGCCTGTGTTAACTTCCACACTGTTTCTTCATTTAATGAGTCTTACACACACACACACTAACAGATCTTGTACATGACTACTAGAGAGTACTGCAGTGGAAGTAACACACAGGGTTTAGTGGAGGATCTAGCACGATTTCCAAAAGGGAAGGGGTTGGCACAGAGTGACAGTTTATGAACATAGCTGCAGGACTAGCAAACAGATGTTTCACTGTGAACTCAATGAGGGCAACTGACAATTGTTCCAAGAGGGAACTGTGATGAAAGAAAACACCCTTATTGCCACCACTCATTTCTATAAGGCAATTCACTCTTTAGCAAGCAATGCAAAAGCACAGAAAGATCAACAGCACAGTGACATGTGAATACACTCCTCAAAGTAGGGCACCAGCAGCAAAGGAACCCTAGCAATGCCAGGCATAGCACTACTTTTCATTCCTACAGCACTCAAACTTTAACAGCAACACCTCTTTAAGCAGAGATGGGAGAAGGAAGTCCAGAGCACAAAGCACGGAGGGCTTCTATGCTCCAAATCGAGCCGTGTTGTACTGCCCTGTATGAGCTATCATGTATACCAGCAGCTCCACCCTCCGATGCTCCATCTCTGCCACTCTAGCCAATGCTATAAGGCACTATTTAACGCGTTAAATAACGTTACAGGCACTTTCTTGGTACGTTTTCATAATCCACATTAAAAATAAACACATTTAAAACAAAACTCAAAAGAATCCTGCTCCCTCCTCTCCCTTCTCAACATAACACCAGACTTGGGCTGGTTAATATTCCTATTCTATTATTATCTCTGGTTGTTGAACAGCCTCAGTACAAAGAAAAATGAGAAGTCATCCAACTCACGTTGTTTTTCCTGTAGAAAGCCAGATGAGCAAAATGCAGACTCTTCACCTGCAAAAGGAAAAAAACACAATGTGAAACAGAATTGCTTTACATGAATATCAAGCCCTTTTTCTACTACTGTATTGCAGAAATCTTTTGCAATTTACCACTATGCTGATTTCTAAAACTCTCATTGGCTTCAGTGGGAATAGCTCAACACACGACACACTTGAAAGCTGCTCTAATGTATTCATTAAAATGGTTAGTTTAGAAGGCAGATTTTATTCTTCATTTCAGGAAAGGCACCATAAGCAATGAAACTGTAGCTAGTAATGTATTTGATTACCTGTAGCATTAGCCACTGAATCTCTAAATAACTAAGAATTAGCATAACTTACCTAGCAACATAAAATAGATTATTCCAAATATTTAATTAGCAGTGGTTTTAAGAATGTCTCTTGTCCTTCCATTCTTTCCACAGTTCACCTATCTAAGGAAAGTTGCAAGTATAAAGGGATTTTCTCAGATCTAAATACAAAACCCTAAGATATAGAGACACAGGATATAGGAATAGAAGAGCCTTTCCTTTGGTTTTTGCATATAGATAAAGGCCTCCGACAGTACTCGGGCCATTTCTACCACAGAGAGTAAACACCTTTGCCATCATTCCACAACTACAGAAATGAAAGCCCAATGGTACCAGCCCACAGCCACCATCAGAGCTGAGATGCGAACACAGGTCTCAATTCCTTCACTGGTTTCCTTCTTCAGAGGCCCAGGCAGAATTTACCCTTTCTCCTGGAGCCCACCTACCATTTGAGTACATTCAAACAAGTGACAGAGATGGCACTCTTCTGCCGAGACACAGTCTGAATAAACAGCAGAGGCAACGTTCTCTTCTGTGTATTTGGAAACAAGGACCAGGGAAGCTGGTGACACTCCATGATATGTGAATAAAAGACTACATGCATTGCAACCGTCTGCCCACTGAGTTTCGTGTGTTCAGTGAAAGCTTCTGCCCAGTGCCTTAAGAAGACTACAGAAGTTGTATGCACCGTTCCTCATCTCATGAATTAAAAACATTGCTACACTAAACCCCACTAGGGTTAATATATAATGATTAATGATAATTTTTAACTCCTCTGATGGATGTAGCAGTATAGAATAAGAGCTCTGCCACAATTCTCTTTTTCTTCAGATGCCCTGGCTATCACAACTGACAGCTTGACTTTTAAAGAGAGCGAAAAGAAAATAAAAAATGACAGGCTCTTCAACATACAGCATAGAAATTTGCTCTTGCCCATTCTTCGTGCTGAAACTGCAAGCAAAGAGACCACCTCAGTACCTGACTTTTGAGGAATTAAAATGATTTGAATTAACCACTTTCCACCCTTCACATACAATCTCTTTCATTTTCAGTTCCTCACCAGGGCAATTCATATACTGTTGTTCTGTATGTGAACAGTTGTGACCCAAGCTCTTTGGGGTTACACTGTTACCTACTTTCAGCTTATTAGCAAAGAAGTATTATCTGCAGTAGCTCACAGAGAGAGTAATTGTTGAGGCAAAGCTGCCATCAGTCATTGCCTTGAGAAGAACCTGTGAAGCTCTCAGGAACACAAGAGCTAAAAGCAAAAAATTCCATGTCAAGAGCACAGACCAGCCTTCTGAAGCGCTTGTATACACAATTCTATGAATTACATCATGACTGGAAAACAACAAGGTTCATGGAGGAAACTCCTTCCCATGACAGCTTTCAATGGCTGTACAGATAGAATTTTTCCATCTCAAAAGAACACCTCTTGATGGAAAACGAAGCCACTTTCACTGCTAAGGGGATCAGCACCAGAGGACAGCACAGCAGAACAGTGTGTATCTCAGCACCAGTGAGATATTAGGGGGATCCTTCTTTGCCTTCTTCCCCACACATCCAGTCTTGCAACACTAGCTACTGGAGTGCCAGTAGGCTTTATGGTGTGCATGACTTTCTCTGTTTGAATCATCAGAATTCACTTAACAATATAACCATACCACTGGAATAAACAATGTTCATGCTCTACACTTTAGAACGTGGCTTTCACCCCAGCAAGAATACTGTGAAATTTAATTTCTGAATAGAAAAATCTGTTTCGGTAATTTTTATTTTTAATGCCATTGCAAATGTAACACTGGTGTGAGCACAATTACGTCAAACTTGGGAAAGAAGGGGGAGAAGAAAGGATGTAATAGACTTCCAGACGGTATGACCCTCTGGATGGGAACAATAGCCAGGGAAACTCAAGGCTCAATGAAACTGATGAAAGAACACATGCTGATTTCAGCACGTAGACCGGATATTAATACAGGTCAAAAAAGGAAAAGGGAATCTGTGGAGGGACTGCAAGGAAAGCAATGTTCTCTGCAGCAGGACTCAGCTCTCAGCTAAAAAATATTTTAGCCACTAGTTTAAGCTTGCTCCATCTTGCATACGTTTGCTGAGCTGTATTCCAGAACATACAACACCACAAAATTATACGATGCCAGTTGCAGAGCACTGGTAAGCTGTCCTAGTATAAACTGCTACTATGAATGACTTCACTGCTTCTCTCTAAAACCTGATGCTACAAGTAAATCTGTTCTTCATACAAGCCATCTGATGCGTTTTGGAACACTGTTGACTCTTCTGGTTTCCATCCTTCCCTTCCACTGTTCACTCCACTAAGCCAAATTTTCTGTTTGTCATTCTTCACATTATTAGGCAGTAGCAGATGCTATTGCAATACATTTAATAGTAGTGTAAACACTACAGTCAGCTATGTACAAACACTCTTTAATTAATTATATGACTCTAGAAGGACATGACAAGGAGGGGGAGAACACACGCTACTGGGGGAAAGGAAGAGAGCAGCTTGTTTACATAGAACATTGACTGTGAACAAAATTAGGGAAGGCAGCCTTCAGAGGAAAGAGAAAAGGAAACACTAGTACAAATAAAAAGCACTATACTGAAAGTATTCTCATGAGGGGGTAGAGATTTTTCTGTTATATTGAGTGTTTTGACCATTGCATAAATGTTGGAGAACATCTGAGATGCACAGCAGATGTAGCGAAGGAGACTGAACCAGTGAGTCAATGAAAACTAAGACCAGATGAAGAGCTCGCTCAAACATCTCAGTACGCACCCAGTCCTGCACAGCAACACCAGTTTCCTGTAGAAGGGTAATGGATTCAACTCAACCCAGCTCATCATTTCAGATAATATGGATTAGTACATACATCGGAACCAACAAGTATATTAACAAAACGCCTAAACCATTCAATGCAAAAAATTAATCATCCCCATTTAAGTGGAAAACGGTAATTTACAGTCAAGCTGGCATATCTGCAGTATTTTGTTTTTATTCTCTTTATGCATGTTTGCTGCAGGCTCTGATGAAAATGACTTGAATGTTTCCTTAAGAGGTTTAGCCAGGTCTGGGGTCTGGCCAAGCGATACAGAGAACTGAGCATCTAGAACATCAGTTAAAATTTTAGGTGCATGACGTAATAATCAAATCTAACTTTTTTTTAAACATTAGAAATGCAAAATTCAACAAAACAATTAAGATCTACATATAATTAGGCTGAAAATAAATTAGCTGATAACATCTCTACAGGTTTTATACACAAGAAGTAATCAAGTGAGAAAGTGTGTTGGGTTTGTGAGGCAGTTTTGGTTGTGAGGGAGGAGCTACAGGGATGGATCCTGTGAGAAGCTGCTAGAAGCTTTCTCAGCTCCAAGTTGGACCCACCTCTGGCCACGTGGGACCCAGTTCTGGACAGGGCCAAGTCAGTCAGCACCTCTGTGAATAACATATTTTAAGAAGGGACAAAGAATCTCAGGCTACGTGGGACCTGCAGTGGAGAGGAGAAGGTGCAGCGGTTCTCTGTGCTGGGCCATCCTCCACCCTCATGGGGTCTGCAGCCGTGGCCTGGAACACTCTAAAGCTCTCTGCTCCCGGAGAGCCCAGCGGGCAGGGCCTGGAATGGCTGCAGCAGAGAGAGGAGTGGGATGCAAGAAACAACCATGCAGACCCCAAGGTCAATGAAGAAGATGGGGGAGGAGGTGCACTGGAGCAGATTCCCCAGCAGCTCACGGAGATTATTGGTGTAGCAGAGATTCAGCTGCAGCCCATGGAGGACCCCACGCTGGAGCGGGAGGCTGTGCCTGAAGAAGACCGTGACTCCATGGGAAAGTCGTCACGGGAACTGTTTGTTGGTGAAGGACTGCACCCGCAGGAGGGACCAACGCTGGAGCCGTTCCTGATAAGCTGCGGCCCAGGGGAAGGACTCATGTCAGAGCAGTTCGTGGAGAACTGTCTCCCATGGGAAAGGAGCCCACAATGGAGCGGAGGAAGAGTGTGAGGAGTCCTGCCCTAAAGAGGAAGGAGCGGGAGAAATCACATGTGACAAACTGACCGCAATCCCCATTCCCCATCCCACTGCGCCGCTGGGGAAGGAGGTAGAGAAATCAGGAGTAAAGTTCAGTCCAGGAAGAAGGGAGGAGTGGGGGTAAGGTGTTTGTTTAAGATCTGGCTTTGTTTCTCATTGTCCTCTCTGATGCGATTGGTAATGAATTAAATTGATTTTTTTCCCCTAAATCGAGTCTGGTTTGCCTGTGACCAGGTGTATTTAACCATTGCACAGGGAGCTGCAGGCTCTGCTTTACTCCTGACCAAGCACCACATGTACAGATTTAAACCCTGTACGAGCTTTATTATTGACTTAAAGCGAGATGAATTTTATTTTACACGAAACAATAGATGGTTTCCAGACTACAAAGTCTTTCTCCTTCTGCAAAAACATCAATCTGGAGAGTGATGTAGCTAAATTCTCCTCTTACGCTTAGGATTTGTACCTACTTAGCAAACTTAAATCTCCTAAAGTTGATGAATTCCTTCTCCCTCATGTTAATGTTTGTCCATAAATACATAACTGGTTAGGCTCTTAATTTGATGGAAAGATAAAGCAATACTGTTCCACAGTCAAATTAAGAACTGCATATGCTCTATTAATTAATAAAATAGTAATTACTTTCTCATTAGCTTCATTTAATATACATCTGCAGATGTATATTAAATTTACTCTTAACAAAAAACATTTATCTAGTCTATCTAGTCTTCCAGTTCTGCTCAGTGCCTTGTGGACATTATGACAGGAGAACAGAGTTAGCAGTTGAGAGAACCACAAGGAAATTTGCCCCTGTCATCTCTTAGACATGTGCTGCTTCATATATAAAACAGGCTTTTCTTCCCCTTATGCTAGATGGAAAAAGATGATATCTAAAAGATACAATATCTGAGAGTTAAAAAAAAAAATAAATCATCACTCAGTAATGTATTTACTCCACTTAAGATCTCAGGAAATACTTTTTTTAAAAGGATTTTTTAAAAAGGAGAGTTACAAAGAACAGGTGGAGTGGCAAGGAGTCGTAGTGCGTGTCATGAATGCAACAGAATTTCATGGTCTACCATTCATAGCCACAGTCTTTGGAGAACAATTCTTTGTAAGTTTTAAGGTAAGAAGCATAGAATTTGTAATTTTAAAAAATCAGTAGCAATTGCACAGCTCAATTCTATGTGGTGCAGAAAGGGTAGGAATTGCAGGTTTCCATACGCAGACCTAACACAACTTGCTCACAGTAGCACCTCCCAGCTCCAAACGATAAATTCAACCTTACAAACATTAACAATATATACATATATCTAAAGTAAGGATTTTAACTCAAGATAGCTGGAGGAAATGCAAAGTACTGAAATCCAACAGGCTGAATTTGTTCCTAACAGACAGAAACTTTGCACCAGGAGCGAATTGAAATGCCTGATTATGATGTGTGAAAATGCTTTTGTTCCATAACAGGGAAGGCATCTGCATCAACATAATTTATGCAGCTGCATGAATTTTTAATTCAGCTTGATTGCTGTTTGTGTTATTTTCTGTAATAAAAACTTAATAATTTAAATGCTGCTGCCAGTTTTTCCCCAAAGACTCATTTCTGTTTCTGAAGAGAAAGGCTGTGCTGGTCAAGTGCTCTCAGTCGTACTTACTGAGAACCAATGATTGAATTAAATTATATACTTGCCATTTATAAAGTTCCTGAGGACCCTGTCTGTCTCACATTGGAACTGTAGCATTACTTCAGTAAGTGGTGTCCAGTGGGGCATCTTCTCGTACATCTTCATATGTTGAAAGAGCCCATATGCAATAAAGCAAGATGTGCTTTATTAATCAATTTATTAATCCATAAAAAAGAACCAGTGGTGCAATCTCTGCACAGGCACCTAGCAAAACCACTGGCTCTAGAGACCAACTGAATCGAAACAAAGCTCTCTGCAACCAAGGCCAACGAACTCATTCTCTGAGAGCGACAGGTAAATCCAGCTGGAGAATGTGTGTGGGAAGTTTCCCTGAATCAGCAGATGATACTCCTCACATCTTTCTATTGAAAGAGTGAAGGACCCTCAGAAAGAGGCCATATAGGACATCCTTCTCTTTTCTACATAATGTTTTTAAAGAGCGAATTCAGCTTTACCTGAACTTTTAATTTTCTACTATAAACAACTGGGCTAAGGCTGAAATTGTTTCTATTGTGGCACAGAAAACAACAGTCTTCCTTCAAACACCCTCCTCCTTCCCTCTTTGCCTTTATCATTTGTATCTGATGGTTGCTAATCACAGATTTTTCTAAAATTGCTAAATCAGTAACACTCTTCAGCCTTGTTAAGCTATAGCAAAAGCACTGTAAAATTATCTGCACTAACAGCACTGCAATATGACCTATCAGCATTTGGCAGATAATTCCATGAAGACACAGATGAACACATATAGGGGAAAAAAAAGAAAAAATAATAATAGTAAAAAAATCAACAAGTAGCTAATCAATAGGACTAAATCTGAGAGTATAAAGTGGCAGAGAAGAGAAGGAAACGCAGGTGATTGCCTCGCCTATTTAGAAATCTGATGTAGGGGTGCACCAGGGAGAACTTCTAACCAGCAGTGTGCATTAGGGCCAGAACTCTACTTTCTTTCTCATTACTGAACCAGTGAAATCACATTCTGGCAGAATGAGCTATGTCACATGTAATACTGGCTCAGACTTATGCTAGCCCAGTTCTCAACAACTTCAGTCCTCACCTGACATCTATATTCAAGAATAGTCAAACTCAGCACGATGAACAGTGACTCAAGTGCCACAGTACACTTGCAACATACCTGAAGCAGTATCAGAACACAGACATATCTTGCACATAGGCCAACTCATCAAATGCTTTCAGTTAGGTACACAGGCTCTAAAGCCTCTTCTAACAGCTACGTGTGAACAGAAATGAAGTAAAAGAGAATGGATGAGAATTCTTTTTTTTTTTTTTTTTTACAAAGCATCTTTTCTTAAAGCGAAATAGATTAAATGAAAATAGAAACCTTTCATATGAAAAAGGATGGACTATAACTCACAAAGACTTCTTCATTTGTTTCTGGCAAAGATGTTCCATGCAGCCCAGGGTGTCACATTCTCTTTGTTGCAGCTATTAAACTGCATAATACAAACAAGAATCCTTTTACCAGTCTTGTTTCTTAACAGCAGAAACCCTCAACAACAGTCTCTTACAACTCCTTCCTTAGTGCCCAACACAAAGGGCACTATGAGAAAAACAAACAAAAATATCCTCACATAAATGAAAATAAGCATTCTAAATCTTTGCCAGCCCTGGAAGAAACAGAGAAATATCTGCAAGAATGCAAAGACAGCTGGTTCTTGGCAAGTCATTTGGTGCAATACTGTATTAATCTGTCTTGCTACTTTGCAGCAGAGAAAATACCATATTTACAACACATCTAGTATTTCCAACAACTTGCCCTTGAATCTGACTTAAGTGAAGTTACTGAGCAACATAAATGAGGCCTTGATATCATTAAGAGCAAATGCAAAACAGAAGTTTTTTCTTCTCTAATTACCTGTTTCACAATTGTAAAGACTGTATTGTGTCTACCTGCCACTTAAATACTATTAAAATAAATCATTCTCACGGTATGTACTCTGAAAGTTTGTGATTCAGATAAATACTACTTTTACTATACCTGTCTACAAAATAGACTTCTTCACAGCTATCTTCAGAATTGACTACATGTAGCAAATCCATGAAGAAAAGCCTCCTGAAAAGGCTCTTCAAATGGACAAATCCATAAAATCCTTTAAAAAGCTAGATTAATTAACAAGTACCATTACACATGAGCCCCATACCACCAATGGATAAGGAAGCTAGGTCCTTCTCTCTCTCTGAAGTGAATAAAGTAATTCTAATTTTCAAACGACTAGGCAATTTAGGAGCCAAAGTAACAATTAAAGAAAGACTGCCTAGGCTTTTGTCTTAGGTCACAGATTCTTACTGGTACATCAGTGCCCATTTCCCACTCATTTCAGTGGCACAGTTACCTAAAGGTTTACCTAAAACTGGCCCCAAATACTCCTGAAAATGTGTCCCCTTGAAAATACCAAATAATGATTTGCCGACTTTAAGAAGCGTAACTCCTCAGTGACAATGACCAACAAGTCTCTTATATATGTCGATTACAGGAAACATGAAAAACAAGTCGTGGTCTTGTAATCTATCTCAGAGTTGTTGAGCTGCCTCCAACATTGACTTCTCACTAAAGGCAATAAATTGGTATTACCTGACCTCCCAGAGAAGAAGTTTCCTCCTGAAAGAGATAATTTCAATTCATTTCCCAGCACAAAAATACTACTTACATGTCAATGTAGATCTTTTAACTAAGGGATGCTGTAAATGATATTTCTGTTGCGTATTTACATAATATGCAACAACTAACTGCTTCAGCAGCCAGATTTTCTTGTTAGCTTTAAATTAACATGTAAGGCAAGCTAAACATTACCTTGATTTTCTTCCAGCTTCTCAATTGTTTCTATCTGCTCAACAAGGTCATTTGAGTTCCACTGGCTCATGCCTATGAGAATGGCACTTTTTCCTTCCACCATCTCTTCTGTAGGAGGAAAAAGGAGAACAGAATAAATTGCAGTGATGAATAAGAGAAAAAAGACAGGGTGAGTTCCTCTCTCTTGGAAAAAATTAATAATATTTTTTACTTTTTTTTTTTCCACTTTTACTTCAGAACATTCTAACGGCAGAACAGAGGGAAGAATGGACACATAGACCAGCTTAAGGCTTTACAAGCACGGTTTTTTGCCTTTTATCACAGCCACATGTGCTACGCAAAGCTTGACATTTTCATCCAGGGACACAGAGACACTCTGTAAATGTCTACCCATATATAGTGTTTGTTAGCAACCCAAAAAACAGCCAGATGGCAAAGCCAAAATCATGTGGTAGCGCGCTAAGTCTGCCAGATAGTTTCTCAATTGACATAAAGTCATGCATATAATTGAGTAAACAAGGTATATGGTTAGCCCTCACTGGGTATCTTGACCTGTGAGTTTTCAAAGCAATTTTGACTTGTGGACTACTACACAAAAGGATATAAACGTGTACCTCTGCCTTTCAAACTAATGTTTCAAAGCAAATTCACTTAAATGTACACAGAAGGAAGGGAAAGTGGGGAAATAAAACACTCTGAATTTTGTTATGACTTTCAGCCTCAAGCAAGCATCATCAAAAAATCATTACAGATAAAAGGTATTCTATCTCCTTACCAGACCGCACAGAAAAATGTCAAGTCTCTGCTTTACTTTTTCTAGCACAAAGTATATTATCACCTCTCTATAGTCAGTTACTTAAAGGTGCACAGAAAAATGTCAGTAGAAAGGAGTCACTGGCTTCTGCACCCCTGCAAAGGCACAAGGGCTGAACACTGCAAGCCATTGTCTGCAGTGCTGGATGTATGTCAAACTATTTTTCATAATGGAAACCAAGACAGACTCCAAGGTGTTGGATTTTACTCTAAAGTGATTTATATGTACTTGTATTAGGTTAGAAAGCTAACTTGGATCACTACTGCTGCTCTGGGGGCAATGAACATTTTTGTAGATGAAAACCAGTAGGACAGCTTGAGTACATCCCTGACTACCATCAGGTTGCTATACTCGGAAAAGAACATGTACTTGAAATTCTTTGTTCAAGTATTATTTGTCTTCAAACAGAGCAAGACAGATACTGTTTTTCACACTCAGGATATACAGTACCCCCTATGCCTAACTCACCAACGTTTTACAGCAAGAATCATGAGCTTGTGCCTCTTGTGATTATCAATGACAACTTCTATCTTCCATGTAAATGCCTTGAGAAGATGATGGAAAAATCACAAACTTTTAAAGGAAAATAGAATGAATGTTAATATGAATAACATTGTTCACAGAGGGGAGATTTTTCTCCGCTTACTGTAAACATAAAGATCAGTGTTGAAGAGTTCAATATAGAATAGGTGGTTTGGGTAAAAGATACTTTCAAATAGCAGGAACAAAGACAAGTACTGCTGAAAGGCCTTCACCTTTACCTTGAGCAGTCCTTGTGTCACAGAGTTCTCTGTGAAATAAGAACAGCCCTCTAACTTGCGGAAGGGCTGGTCCCTTACCCTGGGCCATTCCACTTTAAAACCCTCCTAACAGGTGGAGGGCTTCTGAGGACACTAATCTGCGCTTGAGGTTCTGCTCCCATGCAGAACCCGTGCTCTCCGCCACGGCATTTTTGAGACAGCTTGTCTGAGAAGAACCCAACTAAAGGTGTCTAAGCAAAGGATTCCCTCTCCTCAAGTGTTTGTGTATCTCCAACCTCTCCACTGCTGAGGTGATGGCAGCAGAATGCCCTCAAAGCCTGAAGGACACAGAGGGTGCTGGCACATCTAGGCAGTGACTCCCTCTGTGACTGTCACAGAACCCGGGGTCCTGCCTGACCCCAGGAAAGCCATTCCGTTTTTCCTTGCCTCCAGTGCCTTGTCAGCTAACAGGATGACTCTGCACCTTTCCCTCCATCTGGTCAAACTGTAAAAAGCTTTTTACCTTGCTCCCACACAGCTGGAAGTTCACATTGGTAGGAATCTGATACACAGAGAAAATATTTTTAGTGATCATCATTTATGTGAGAAAAATCTGCCAGCAGCAAAGCAAAAAACCGAATAAGCCTAAAGTTTCCAACATGGAAGCATAATGCAGTTCTGCTATGAACTGAGAACTTTCAACCTAACTTACTGCCTGGCACACAGAAAGTAAGAAATAAAAGAAAGCTGTGCAAAAAAAACCCAGTAAAATATTACTTCTCCCTTTCTCTACGGATTTCACTAAAACAAGTAGCTAGCCAGGGCAGATGAATCATCAGTCAAAACACGTACAGCTGCTCCATCTCAAACCCAGGTGCTTGATTCTCTGTTTGTAAGGCTGCCAGCCAGTAATTTGTTTGAGGAACTGGGGTTTGACCCCAGCTGTTTTTCAGAATGCCAAAGCAACTCACCAATGCTGTGTTTTAATTGTGCCCACTGCTGTGCCCTCTGCCTCCTGTCTCTGAAGTGCAAATTACACATGGGTAGATGTACAGTCTGGGATAACTTCCAAATTCTCCCATAAAGAAATACGGCACTTAATTTCAGCTGCACTGTGCAGAACGTCCTTTCAGCTGCAAGAATATCAAGCATTGATGAAGCACTCTGTATAAATAACAGGGAATGGGTGAGAAATGTAGGTAAGAAACACTACAGCAAACATGATGCTGGAGACAGAAAAACAGTATCAAGCTACTTCATTTCTAGGAGGTGAAAGCTACAGTCTCTCACAGGTTCTCCTCACTCCCAGCACACACAAACTCCCGCAGTTTCTCTGGTGCTGTTTAATCCAATGATAACGCCAATTACTTTGGCTCACACGTGTGCTTCCTCTACCAAAGACACAAGCACTCTCATCACCCAGAGAGCTGCTGAGTGTAGAAACACCTTCTGCCTCTTGTGCTAGTATCTATGCTTTTGTGCATGTTTATTTTCCTGACATTTTAATATTTCATTTTTCCTGAAAGGCTGTTGGGGAGAAAGTAGAGATGACACTAAACTAGGAGGAGCTGCTACCCTCCCTTGAGGGTAGAGAGGCCTTACAGAGAGATGTGAATACACCAGAGAGCTGGGCAACCACCAACTGTACGAAATTTAACAAGAGCAAGATTCTCCACCTGGGATGGAGTACTCCTGGTTATACATACAAAGTGGAGGACAAGAGGCTGGAGAGCAGCCCCACAGAAAGCAACCTGGGGGTTTGGGCTGATGGCAAGTTGGATATGAGTCAACAGCAGCCCTGGCAGCCAGAAGAGCCAACTGTGTCCTGGGGTGCATCAAGCATAGCATAACTCGCCAGTCAAGGTGGGTGATTGTGCCACTCTATACTGTACTGGCACGGCCCCATCTCAAGTACTGTGTGCAGTCTGGGGCATCTCAATATAAGGATATCAAACTATTTGAGTGTGTCCAGAGGACAACCAAGACAGTGAAGAGTCTTGAGGGCAAGTCTTACACGGATCAGCTGGGGTCACTTGGTTTGTTCAGCTTGGAGAAGAGAAGGCTGAAGGGCAACCTCATCACAGTCTGCAACTTCCTCAAGGAGGGCAGTGGATGGGGAGGTGCTGATCTCCTCTCTCTGGTGACCAGCGATAGGACACGTGAAAATAGAACAAAGCTGCATCAGGGGAAGTTCAGTTTGGACATTACAAAAAGCTTCTTCACTGAGAGGGCTGTTGGTCACCAGAACAGGCTCCAGGGAAGCAGTCACACCACCACGCCGGTCAGAGTTCAAGGAGCATCTGGACGATGCTCTTAGTTGTATGGTTTAGTATTAGGTAGGCCTGCTAGGAGCAGGCAGTTGGACTTGACGATCCCTATGGCTCCCTTCTGACTTGAGATATTCTACCATTCTATGACAGATTACATGCAAAAAAATGACAGAACACCAAATCCTTCTTTCCTTTCTTTACCTCTCATAGATGCCCTATTGTTCCTCCCCTTCCTGCCCCCTTTTCTTTATTAATTGCTGATGCTAATCAGATGGACAGAACAGCCCGGTCAATGTCATACGGTTTACAGGCCACAGCACCAGAAAACAAGAAACTTCAAAAGTAAGTGCAAGAAGCCAATAATGAGATAATCTATACCAGAGAAGGTTTTCTACCTATGCCCTACTAGTAATATTCAGGCCAGCAAACAAAAGAGTTTATGTTCCCACTAGTAAGTTACGGAATGTAAACGCAGTACTGTCATCTTTCAGCTAATGCAGCAACAAGTCCTTGTAAACACCATTTTCTTCTTCATACAATTGGGAGATTTTGAAACTTGCTGCCAGGTTGGAAGGCAGGCTGATAGCATCAATTTAGTAATTCACCTCTGCCTCACAACGACTCTCTTTTAGAATGGAGAGCTTACTCTCACCTTCCATGCCATCTTTCTAAGAGCTGGTACTAAAAAATATCCACCATTTCTTCTTTTTTTTCAGAAGCACAAAAAAAAAAACAGCAAAAGGCTTTTATCAGAATTCTCTTCTTCCAACTTAAAAATCTATTGCAACAAGCACAGATATGGACCTATGAACAAAAAAGCAATGGTATCCTTCTTGCACTCTTCAAAATTGGGTTCTACTTTTCCTTTAAGACTCATTAAAAGAGACACAATGTCCTAATGGCTGGGATATGATGATATAAAACACCTCATTGACCGGTTAGGCTAGAACATCAACTCAGTGCTGTACAAACACATCAAAGCCCACCTCCTGCTTCACTGTCTTTACCAAAACACTTGCAAGGGAGTCAGGACTAGCACACTGCTGACAAAACCACCACATTTGCTTCAGTGAGGCCAGTGATGGACACCAAAATGAAAATATGGGACTGTTGGTTCTTTTTTTCTTCCTTACCTATTTAAACTTAAGAGAAAGCCCACTTACAATGCCCAGCTCCCAGCATAAACAAGAGAAAAACTGAAATCTCAACCATCTCAAACAGGAATTGTCCATAGAATAATATCCTTCTTGATCCACTCTTCCAGAAATACATGAATATTAGAAG